CAGCAAGAGCCAAAAAATGCTCACATTCCTGAACAGAAAATATAATACATTTAAAAATGCAATGAATCCTCCCACTTTTATACATTTAAAATCAAAGATTATATTTGACATTTCTTTCTAAATATTTTGCTAGATCTTATTAGACACTTTAAGGTTTCTTCATCTAAATATTTAAAACACAAAGAATATTCGTTTAGAAAGAAATTTGAGTATTCTGCTTTACAAAGTTTAGTGAATTTTATTCTTTAAAAGAAAGGTATTGGGCCTTAGATGTGTTATTACTTCCTTTTATGAGCTGGTTTTATAGTAAAAGCATGAAATTTTATTTATTTATTAACATTAATTGAATGAACAGTTGTGTGCCATATTTGTTTATATCATTGTTTGCAAGACTAATTGCAATACAGTGGTCGTTATTAACATATACTCAATGCTGTATTACTAGCATATATTATAGTTAATACTACTGAGTCTTTATCTTCACTCACAACCCAGGGCTGGTAGCACCTATTCTTGTTTTGGCATTCAGCAATCTGTCTTTGCCTCCTTTCATGACTGCTGTGGGTGGCACTTCGAAACAGCAGAGGAAGAAGCGAGTATCAGGTCATAAGCTGCAGCAACTTTCCTCTCTCTGTGTTTTCCCATTCACAAGCTGAGGCAGGCAAGTATGCAGCTCACACATCGAAAGCTTTTCACACTGCGCAAAATGGGTGGAGTGGGTAGAGGCATGTGCAGGCAAACAAAAAGGCTCTTTGGGTGATTCTGTTCAGAATGTTTAAGAAACAGAAAGGTACTATTGGAGACGTGGAGGGAAGTTAAGACTGATTTATTAACAGCAACATAACTATTATTATTATTATTATCTCGAAGACAAATCAGAAAGATGCCTCGTCAAACATCACAGCCAAGCTCTTGATTATTTATACCAGTAATATAATTATTTTTATGGCACCTTGAAGTTAAACATAATATATTATTTCCTTAAAATGACAATAGACTGACGCGGGATTAATCTACAAATTGTTGACTTATTAGGAAATGGTAATTCCGGAAATTTTTCTTGGAGAATTTCCGGACTCTTAATAAAAGATTTAGTGCCGAAGTAAACTTCCACCAAAAATATGATGATCCTTCGTCATCATTTTTTAAATGATTCTTCTTTCCTAAATGTGAGTTCCCACACTAATGAATGAAATGTTAATAAATGACTGCCCAATGGCAGAGTAAGTGCTTTATCTTTCTTCAGTCTAACATTGCTCTGTTCTACATTATTCTCTATTCTCTGTTCTAAATTCTACATTAGTTCATTAAACATGTATGTACAGATCTTGTTGAAATAATACATTTCAATTTTGTTTTTAGGAGCATCTTTAACTCTTGTGTTCACATTGAATGACATAGTGTTTTTCCAAAATTTGTGAACTTCTTTCATTTCATCAGTTATGGGGAAGAAGTACTGACTGATGTCCATTTTTGGAATTTATATATTTTCCATATAGTGCTTATGTGATACTTTTCACTTTTCTACAGCTCTTCCTTTAGTGTGACGTAATCTTGTGATTTCAGTTGGTTTGTGTTGAAGTGTAGTATAGTCCTGATAAAATGTTTTCTAATATTGTTGCAACTTTGGCATGCATACTTGTGTTAAAACAAACTTGTATTAATTTTCTTGATGGAAAGCAATTCCAAGGGCCTTTGGTCTACGTTGTTGATAAATTAACTTTTTCAGTGTGTTACTTTATTTTAAATTAAAAACTGTAAATACTTTTGTGTGTATGCTCTTAACGCTGTCTGAAATTGTATATTTCTTTGTGTTATATTATGGGCTGTATTCTTTTTATGCCTTTGTTTTGTGTATGATTTTTATCTATACATTTGGCTTGGATTTGTTGAATGTGAACAAAGGACTTTTTCAGGCTCCAGAAAGAAAATGCCTGATGGTTTAATGAGACGAGGTGACATCAATATACTTCTTCTGGGTGATCCTGGAACAGCCAAGTCACAGCTATTGAAGTTTGTGGAGCGAGTTGCTCCAATTGCTGTTTATACTTCAGGAAAAGGTTCTTCTGCCGCTGGTTTAACAGCTTCCGTAACACGTGACCCTGCGACTGTAAGTATACCTATTGTTAAAATATATTATCTTGCATACTTGCAAGGATAATGTGAGTTATTGAAATTGCAGATTAATGATTGTATTGTTGTCCAAAAGTTTAATTGTCTAATTGGAGAATTACAAAACAAATAAATGAAGTGTATACTATATTTACCCAAACATAAGATTAGTGTATCTTTAAGTTTTCATCCCCTAAAACTGGCAGTGGCATCATTATTTTCACACTGTAAAAATGAATAGGAGTTCGACATAATTTTATTTTCTTACTGGTTCATTACATGTTTATTTCAAATTTCTGTTCATTATGATGAAAGAACAAGTTTTATACATTATTTTGCGAATCATCTGCCCCTTCTTTGTTTTAACAAATATTTTTGTGGGGAAATAATTGTTTGTTATGTTCCCTCTCTCTCTCTCTCTCTCTCTCTCTCTCTCTCTCTCTCTCTCTCTCTCTCCTCTTCCTCTCCCCCTCTTCCTCCCTCCCTCTGTCTCCCCTCTCTCTCCCTCTCTGTCCTCTCTCCCTGTTCTCTCCTCTCTTGGTAGAAAATTAATATTGAAAGTGTAATGCAGGTATAATTTAATAGTATGAACATAGGAAACTGGAAGGGAAAATCAGTGTAAACTGCTTGAAAACGTAAGTTGTGAGAACATGAAAACAGGTTTGTACTGTATCATTGTTATAAGTGCTAGATGTGATAAACAAAATTTTTGAACATTCATTGATGTGAGTAGTTAAAAGAGACCAAGGGTTTGAGCAAACCATTTTTTTTATTGTGTGTGAATTTCTTAATTTGTTTTTACTAGAATTTTTCTTCCTGTATAATATTTTGTGTATTTTTTACTATTTTCTGGGTTATCCTTTTAACTAATATATGTATATACATGTGTGTACACAAATGAGTTAAAAGGATAGCACACACAAAAATTTTTAGATTATCTGATTCAATATGAATTTACTCTTATTCAAGCGTAAACTTGACTTGATTGATTATTGAAACTTGGAAATAATGTAATGGGTTGTATTATTGAAATTCAATTTTTTATTTGATTAATGCACTATTTTACTGTGTGTGAACTCAACACACTTCATTTTAGAATATTTATTATGTAGACAAGTCCTTACATAGCTTATTATTCATAATATTTTCAATAATGTTTTGTTTACGCAACTTTGGGATTACTGAATTTATAGTCTTCACCTGACATAACAATGCAATTGGAATGTACATGTTGTGTAACTTGCTTCATATTTCTATTCCCTAGATAATTATATTACCTTGGAGATAGTGTCATCTCCTGCATTGTTGCATCATTGTATAAACAATGCTTCAAGAGAAATCACTTATCATTTATAAAAATTGTGCTTTTTTCGGGTTTGATAGACGAAAGGAAAGACCTCCATCAACTACTGAACTTATTTCAGAGTTGGAGGAAGATGTTGAGTTTATCCCTGATAAAATATGATTGATGTGGTTTACATTCCTTCTAATGTTTACGAAACAGAGAACGAAAGTATAGATGATAATTTTTTGGAGGAAAAAGGAGAAGAAGAAAACTTGATTAATACTGCAATTGTCAACTCATGGAAAATTTGTGATATTGTGAATGAAGAAAAGACACAACTACAATTTCACTCCTACTTAGCCATGACCTGAATGAAAGCTTAAGAGTGCAAAACAAAGTGAATGCAATAATGAGTTTAATAAATACATTGGAGACTGAAAAATCCCATAGTTTTAGTCATTGCAATAGTCTTTTTCTCAATTTTTTTCCTAGTCTTCGAGAGGTGGATTGATTAATATTTCTTGTTTCCGGGCACATCAACTGCTACTGTCATTAGTCCAATAAGTGTAGTGCGTTTTTGTGTCAGTGTTGTGCTCTTCCCTCGCTGGTTCGTTGCCAACCTCCAGGTCGGCTTGCAGATGATTCCCTCATCCAAGTATCTCCCACCAGCTAGGCTTTACTCCAGCAGAACAATCTCTAAGCTCCTGACATGTAGCAGTGTTGGGTATTTACTGTAAGTGTATGTATGCGTGCAAGGAAGGGGTCAGGATAGGACAAGGAAGAGAAAGGAATGATGGAGTGTCTGTTTGAAGGGGTCTGCTCTGACATTTGCCTTGTGTTGATCAGAAAAAACACAGAAAACTATGAATTAGAGCAGCTGGCTGCTCGAATTCTCTAGAGAGTGGCTGAACTGGAACCGGAACCTGTCTCTAGCTGATGTCAAAATTCCTGCCTCCGTCGGGATTTGAATATTAGGACATTCCGGCTATCTAGGGACATATTGACCCCAGTTAATAGTTCAGGAGGATAAATGTAATACATTTGCAACTATTTATTTACAGGTAGTAATGTAGGCAACAGTGTGCATTGGTGATTCTGTACAAGTATAATTTATTTTTCTACCATGAAGCAATCCAACATGAATTCACATTTACATAAAACAAATTGAGAGTTTTAATTATAGCAGGCACATCCAAACTAACCTTAGAATTTACTGTAACAATGAGTCTTTTTGTCTTGGTCTAAAATTGTATTACATTGAGAATTCCTCTTCTAGCATTATTCGAGGAGTTATTGCCACCTCTTTATTTCATGTGCTTCAGATACCAGAGTGAATGCAAATTTGTATTGTAGTGTTACAGGAAAGAAGTCAGCAGCATTAAGTGGGGGGAAGGGAGTTAGGTGATCTATTTAATAGAGGAAGAGGAGATAGGGCATTGTAAAACTTTTTTTTATTTTGTTTATTATTTTGTGTAATAAGTTGTAAACATTAGATATCTAATTACTTTTTTCCTTTGTATTCATAGTGTAATTTAATTTTGCTTGTAAATTTTCAGATATCACTCAAGGATATATTCTCGTTTTCCATTACATTGACTATGAGTAGAAGTAATATATTATATAGATTACATAGTAAATATGAATATTTCCTAAAAAAATATTGATATGTTGGTTGAACAATTAAAACATATTTGCATGCCTGATACACATATTGTAATATTCTTGGACGTTGTGGCAAAACACACCTGTCAGGTGTTGAAACAGAGAGCTTATGGGGTCTTGTCGAACAGCTCATCGTGTAGCAAAGTCTTGGCAATGACTTTTACACATTCTCACATTGCATTTCACATGCTATAGTGATACTACGCAATACTATAATATGCCTTTTATTTGAGACTGTCGTTACGGACCCAACTATTGATTTACATTGTTCAACAAATTTGTGGTGTGTGCCATTAACATGTCTCGGGCTTGTAAAGTTGTAAGGGCAATACTCGTGATATGTATTGCCTTTACAACTTATTATATCATCAGCATTCTGGCTTGGAAACACTGCACAAAAATGTAAATCTAGCCAACTAGACTTCATGAGAATAAGACACCTTCTCGTATTCTAATGAAATATTTGTCTTATATTTGGGTAAATATGTTAACCTTGTCTTATATTTGGGTAAATATGTTATATTTCATATTAGGTTCTGAATAATAGTCAGCACCCTTATTTGTGGTGTGCTTGTAGTAAATGGTGCCAAGAACTGAATTAGTTGAGCATATTCAGTGACACCCTGATTTAAAATAAAATATTTCTGGTCCCAAAACTGCCTCCAGAATGAAGTCTAATTAAAATTAATCATTTGAGTCCCTGTACATTCTGGACCAATGTTCTTACTTCCGACAAAGCTGCACACCAGTACTTCATGGCAGAAAAACAAAAAAGGACAATGTTGCCACAAGGAGCAGTGATATCTCTTGGTACTGTGCGATAGTTGCTGAACATAAATATTTTCAAAGAGAAAACAAACTTCTTGGCTTTTAAAACAATAAATTAATGTAAATATTATTTCTAAGGGTAATGTGAAAATAAATTTTTTATGTTGGAAATTTGAGCATACTGTTATTGAGAACATTTAAGGGAAAAAAAATAACAATGCCCAGAATTACATTAAATAGGGAATTTTGTTGTATGTTTGAAGTAAATATGAATAATATTTTATTCTCTATGAGAAAACTCAATTTGCTCTACTTCACCTGAAAATGAGATGTATTTATTGCTGTAAGTAACATTTTAAAATCCATTCTTCTAGCAATATATTTTGTAGGGAAAATCTTAATTAGTGAATTTTTAATTGAGTGATAATTGCCACATGTCTGGCAGAAATGTGTTTCTGTCCAGACCTGAAAGTACTGTTGATAAAAGAGCAAGGGGTCATCTGAACTTGCTTAAATGTTTCTATAGCATGAATTTGTGTAGAAAAAGTCAATGATTGAATTGAAACTTTTGCAGCGTAACTTTGTGATGGAAGGAGGTGCCATGGTGCTCGCTGATGGAGGAGTAGTGTGCATTGATGAATTTGACAAGATGAGGGAGGATGATCGTGTAGCCATCCATGAAGCTATGGAACAGCAAACGATTTCTATTGCAAAGGTATTTGATTTTCCCAGTTATTGAGATAATTATCTCATATTGGCAATCAGGACTTGGAGTCTTTTATAGGCAGGCATCACTACTACATTGAATTCACGTTGCTCAGTTCTTGCTGCTGCTAATTCAATATTTGGGCGATGGGATGACATGAAAGGAGAGGAAAACATTGACTTCATGCCAACTATCCTTTCAAGATTTGACATGATTTTCATAGTAAAAGATGAACATGATGAAGCCAGAGATACTGTAAGTACAAATTTTTCCTAGTAAAATACTTTGGATATCTAAATCCATTTCAAAATGTTGGCATTTTTGTAGACTCTTGCGAAACACATCATGGGTGTTCATATGAATGCTGGTCAAGGCACTGATAATTCAAGTGAAGGAGAACTGTCATTGATTTTCATCAAGAAGTTCATTAATTTTTGTCGAAGGTAAAGGTTGTTTTATTCGAATTAATAACATTAGCATGGCTTTGGAGTAAATAACATTTTCTTCATTTGAATAAACGTCATTCGCTACATGTTTTCTAATTTTCCTCTATTTTAGAACTTGTGGGCCACGTCTCTCTGAAGAAGCTGGTAATAAATTGAAAAGTCGTTATGTGTTGCTTAGAAGTGGTACTCGAGAACATGAATTAGAAACAGACAAGCGATTGTCTATTCCAATAACTGTCAGGTTAGTTACATAAGAGAAAATATGTTGATGTAAAATCTCTTTAATTGAGCATTTTTAATAAGCATTTTTATACTTTATCAATGTAAGCACAAGTACATAAGTAAATCTGAATAAAAAGTGTTACTTAATTGAGAGAATAAGTAATTTAATTAATTTCCCTATTGCCAAGATTTAGAAATAAAGCTTTAGCAAATCTCTGGGTGACAAAAATATACTTTTTATGTACAATAAAATATTTCTTAGATATCTGGAATTCTTATTTTTCAGGCAATTGGAAGCAATAATTAGAATAGCTGAGTCCCTGGCAAAAATGCAATTGCAACCTTTTGCAAACGAGAACCATGTAAGTGAAGCACTGAGATTGTTCCAAGTATCAACACTTGATGCAGCTATGTCTGGAAGCTTGGCTGGTAAGTTGGTTAGTTGTATGATGTATAATAGTCATTTGAAAATTGTATTTTATCCATTTTAATTATCTAATGTGGAACTTGAAAATTGAGATACGTTTCGTTATAAAGGGCAAAATGCCTACATTCAAGATATCTTGAGTCTTAACAATACATCTTCCAATAGTGGTTTTTTCCTTCTTTCTTTTCTTTCTGTTCAATGATGTGAGATGCTTTTGAAACGATTTCTGAAAAATGCTGTATGCCAAATGGCATTGACCCTCTTTGACTAATAGTTTGTATGTTAAATTTAAAAACTTCATTTCTGAAAGGTTTGAAGTGCTTTTGAGTGTACCACATGGATCCCAACTTGGTCCACCATTCACACATTTGTGGGATTTACACCATATTTCCTGAACCAATGAAAAGTGTAAAAGAGGTATTTTATTCTATATTAAAATGAAATTGTATTATGTATGGTGGAATTTTTTCAGAAGGGATCAAACCAATCTTATCACAATACTCAGTCAGTTGTCAAATGATGCTTAACAGTCTTGTTTGATAGTCCCCTAATCTCTAACATAATGACGTCTTGTGATACTTAATAAATAATTGTTATTAAATTTGATACTTCAAAAATAATTATTATTAAATTACACTTTTTTTGTGTAGGTGCAGAAGGTTTTACCACTGAAGAAGACCATGAGATGTTGACGCGTATAGAGAAGCAACTTAAAAGACGCTTTGCTATAGGCTCACAAGTTTCAGAGCATAATATTGTTCAAGACTTCTTGAGACAGGTAAACTTTATGATAATTTTTTCCATATGTATGTTTAATGAATAATTACATATACATTCTTGGACTTTGTCTATTAAATATACAATTTGTCAAATTCAATCATTTATCAAGTGTTCAAAGGATTTTTAAATAGTAGAAATTTAACACTTTTTAAGTATTAAATTTATTTTGCAACTGAAGATAACAGATTTATAAAAGTATATTATGTACATAACTTGCTAGTACTATTTAGAACAATGTAAGATCATTTTTATTGTGCAGAAATACCCTGAGAGGGCAATTTTTAAAGTAATCCACACAATGATTCGCCGAGGAGAATTGCAACACCGCATGCAACGGAAAATGCTGTATCGATTGATGTAAGACACACTTGCTGAAATTCAACTGTAAGTAATTTTCATTTGATTAGCTGTTGTCGTTACAAAAATAACATTTCTAACATTTTGACATGCGAACTATTAAATCATAATAATAGTTTGCAGAATATGCCAATTATGCTGTACTGATCTTCTGGAATGGATATTCTGGATGATCCTGAACTCTGAAAAAAGACCATTGATTTAATATTTGTTTCTTTTTTGTTGCAGATAGTATTTTTTTTTAAAAATAGCATACCCCTTCCAGCACAAGAAATCAAATATGCGACCATTTTCTCCTTGATCCAAGGCATCCAGCTGAGTCATTTCACTGTCACTCAAATCAAAATCAAATATCTGTAAAATAATGTAATTTTTAAAATATACAGTTTTACAACTATTGCAATAGTGCTTTAAAAAAATGTGTACATGCCTCAAAATTCTGTTTAATTCTGTCTGGATTGGCACTCTTTGGAATGACAGGTATCCCAGATTGCACAAGGTGCCTTAAAAGGATTTGTGCTGGTGTTTTCTTATATTTGAAGGCTAATTCACTCACAGCAGGTGTCCCGAGCACATCAGGAAACTTGTCAGGACTGCAAATTTGGAAGCATTTATTGCTAATGACATTACATGTATGAATCTCTATAATCTGTGTGATTCAATCAGATAAGAGCAATCCTATCAGGAGTATTGAATCTTTTAGCATTTACCATCTTGAGCATCATTTAGAGGATATGATTTTTGTGAAGGTTCTTTTGGGATACTGTAGTTGAATCCTCACAAATCCAAACAATGAAAAATTGTTTTTATAATTTGCGTTTTGATTTTTCATGAAATGTTTAAAGTTAGTTATCTCTTTGTTTCTTTAGTGTCTCTGATACTGATTGGATCACAGTTAAAATACAATAAAATAGCAAAAAGAAGTGTTAATGAACTATTGTAAGTGTAACATCTGAGCCAGTAAGTGATTAATGAATTGCAAAAGTAATTTCATCTAATATTTTAGGCCTTATATGGTGAAGGCAGCTTCACAGCACATTATATATGGAAGTGATGTGCCTGAAGGCTTTCCTTCACAATACCCAATGAAGTAATTAGTATATTTTTTCAAATTCCTGAAAATTGGGTAATACAAATTCAAAAGTAAACTTGAATGTAATAATTAAATCCAAGTATTCTTTTGTTTCTTAACAATGAACATTTTTTTCTTCAGAAAAATCTTTATTGTCCAACATGTTTTGTGTCTTCCTTTCCCACATTTTCAGGTGTATACAAAAATATAAAATGACATGATTACATCAAAAACATGTTTAATTAAGCCCATATTTTTATTAAAAAAAATTAGAACATCATAAATGTTAAAAAAGGATAACTCCCATCTCAAACTAGTGGTGCTACATCAGCACATAATTCCTCACGTTATTTCTAAATTTGCTATTTTCAAAAATTCAGTGTTAAAAAAAATTAGACCTGTACCATTCTTTTAAGCCTTCTGTTTTGTGTCTATGGAAAAAGTTTGGAGCAGTTTTTGAGAAAATATTTTTTTAGAGGTTGCACGAAATTCAATTGCAAATAATACAAAAACTTCTGGCTTTTCAAAAACATTGTACATGGCATTTTTTAAAGAGCAAACTTCTTGAAGCAGACTTTGTCCGAGGTAAAAATATCTTTTATTTTGTAGTTTTGAAATGTTAACTTTTACTTCCTCACTACTGCATACTGCTTAAGCAGTATAGATGTATTGTAATGCGGTGGGGTAAAAACTGTGAAATTTCAACCCAAAAGTCTTACTGCTGGACCTTTGTAACAAAAAAGTGGATAAATATTGTCCCTGTATATAGTAAATTACATCCTATAACACATTAGTAGTCAGAATACTGTTTTGTGTAAATTTTGTGAATGTGTTTTTGTAATAAAATCTCTTCTTTAAAAACAGATCTTGATATATACTCTTTTGCAATTTTTCAAAAATATGAGTAGTTTTCTTGTAATTTCACATGAAATATAGACAATTTTTAAATTAATTTAAAGAACTTTTTTCTCGAAATCTGCATGCTTTTTTAATTTCTTGTACTTTCCATCAAGGGGCTGTAAAAAAAAATATGGTGCAAGTTCCATTTTCAGCACACTCTTTGTATTTTTGAAAATTACAGGAAGTTAACATTTCAAAACTACTAATTTGAAGACAGGTTTTTTGCATGAACCAAAGTGTAGTTAAAAAGTAGCTCTTTATCAAGGTCATCTACAATTTTTTGAAGAAACAAGTAGTTTCCATGTGATTTGTGCTTCATGGGAACTCCTCTAAACAAACAAAAAGTAAAAAGTTAGTAAAATTCATGTGAGAACAGATTTGCTTGCACCTTATAATCCAAGAGTAGTTTGTTGTTTTGTAGTTAAAATTAATGTAAATTATTTTGCCGAACCGAAACTATTTTATAATCAATCAACATGATTAGACCTGATGTACGCAGCATCTTCATTACCTTGATTATGCAGCCAATTGTATTAATGGCCAATTATGGCTGGAACCACTAGTGACTGTTGAAGACAGGTTTCACTGTAGACTGTAGGTGCAGTGTCCCGTTAACCTTTTGACTGCTCTAGATAAGTTAATATTTGCATGATAGCTGTTGATTGAGTTATTACGCTCAGTCAGGTTGTTGCTGGGAACCTCTGGATGAGATTGTACGCGGAACTGTAATGTCCCAGGAGCCTCTGAACAAGTTCACTTGTGTAGACTCGCTTTTGGCTATCGCTAGGACTTACTGATAACTGAGATGTCTTGCACAGTATGTATGTGTGTGTGAGCTCAGCTCGCGAGAAGTTTGTCGCATAAGGAATGACTTACAATGGACCGGCCCGAAGCAGTTAAGGGTTAACCCATCATTTCTGCCTATTTTAACCCATAAAATAAATAACATGCTATTCAAGTTTCTCCTTTGCTGAGGAACCATTTTCTTCTACCATGTCAGGAGATTCTACTCTGCACAACCTTGAATAACTTGCTGGCACTTGCCATAAATTCTATCTGGAGTACGCGCTGCGATCGCTTCCGGAAACAGGCATTATCTCTACTTGCCAGAGTGAGCAAATATGGTTGCCAGCCCTTGCTGAGGCAGAAGAAAAAAACTGGCGGGGGGGATTTACAGTTGCAATGTTGCTTGCACAAGTGAATTGCTGAGCAATTTCTTGCCAATAGAAAGTCAGCATTGCACAAAATTATTAATTGTCTCTGAAATCACAGTAATTTGTGTGTTGTAAGTAATACTGTAATTTTTAGGAAATGGGAGTTTTCACATGCCGAAAATAATATTCAGAAATAACTCTTTGTACCTAATTCTGTTATTTATTACTCTTGAATGTTGAATAAAAACTACTCTTGAATTATACCATTAAAATTATGGTAACACATGTCGAGTGAAAAAATTAAGTATATTATTATGGAAGAAAATTACTATTGAATTTGGACCTTGTTGGTACTTATACGAATATTTGTATCAAACCAGACAAAGAAAAGTTTTGTTGATATAAGTAATTAGTCAAGTTGTACAAGTATCATGAAACAACAGTAACATGCAGCATGGAAAAAAGTCTCATAAAAAGAAACAATATTCTGTGATGGATGAAACGTTTTAATTTTGATGCATCATTCTCTATTAATAATCCAAATGGATGTAACATGGTTTAGTAAAAACGTATATCAAGTCATTAGGCCTACTTTATCTGTGCAGAAATAATGTCTCACTGTTGTTTTACGAGTTGGTTATAATGCTCCCATTTGTAAAAATTTGGATGCTTGAGATGACTTTATTCTAGAATAATGCTAGGATTATGAAGATGAAAATAGCTTTGATGTTCCTTCAATATTTTGGGTTTAAAAAATGAATCTTCAAAAAAAATACAGTTGCACATTTGTTCATAAATGTGAAAATGTGGGGGAGATATACCTTATTCTTCTTACTTTTATCACCATGTGGTACATGGAACTGCTGCATGAATGATCTTTGAAACATGAACAACTTGCTATTTAGAAACTAGGTAAAATGTAAAGATGACTCCTTTGATTTCAGTGCTACATGTGAACAAATAGTTTCATTGTAATGCATAAAATAAATTTGGTGTCATTTTTAAAAGAAAATATGATGAACCTAAATGAAAAAAACATTTTTGCAAATCACTGATGTTAAATTTGACAATTTCCTCCAGATTAAAATGTATTGTGCCTGGTATTCCTGAGCTGAAAAGAATACATTGATGCGCCTTTTTGTTAAATCATTCACATCCAGTTTTAACCAGAAGAAAAGCGAATGTGTTCCACAGGAGTAAGTTACTTCATAACACTAAATATATATCATCATATTCTGAGCAATGTCCTCCAAATTGGCTGGAAAAAATTACCTCTGCTTTCCCTTTCCTCTCGCATTGTGGTTGCATCAGTGACAACAATGTGAACTTTTGAAAACCATCTAGACTCTAGATGGAAGGCAGTTGAGATGCCGCTTTCCCAATGCTGATGAACCAAGGACTCCTATGATTTCAGATTATGAATAGTAATGTACTGCTGAAAAAATATGGAACTGACAGGAGATCACAAAGAAGGTTTATGAGCACGTTTTTGTTGTGGAGAAGAAAATGTAGATTTAAAGATAAATTAGGTGCTAGAGAAATGAACATGGAAAAAAAAAAAATTAATGTGTATTTACAATGTTTGTATAGGTCTATTAAGTATATTATCTTATTGAGATTATCCTCATGTTCTAATGAGCTCAGGATAGTATTTTTTTTTCTAGCAAGCTTGAAAGGTTATCTTATAGGGTCGAAAAGGAAGAAATGCAAAAGTTAAAATAATACCAAAATTACGCTGCCTGTGGTTTCTTAAATCACCGAGAGGAAATGTACAAAGGTACCTGTGTGTTACTAGAAATCAACTAAGCTGTCTGTTCTAGTAGAATTTTTAAATGTGAATCTTATCAACCCAAAAAGTGTGTAATAAGAAATATTAAATATTTGGGAATTTACTTAGGGTTTCTTATTATTTGGTACTGCAGAGAGTTGGAAAATCTTCCCAATATTGAAAAGGATTGTGCCTGGAAAAGAATGGATGTAAGTCAACAGCAAAAGTTTGATGAATCCTGAAGAATTACTGGCAATGTGAGCATACCAATTTTTCCAAGAATTGTTTTAAATTTTTTTCTCTGTCAGAATTTGCTTTTGCATTTCTTAATTATTTTTTAGTCCCACCCTATGATAGTAAATCTACAACCCTGCCTACACCTTGAAGAGAGGCCACTGTCACACACACAAATACTTCTGCCCTGGGGAAAGGTACTGTTGATTTTTTTTACCAATTTGTTTAAGATTATCACTTTACATTCCGAAATAAAATTCTAATGAAGCCCTTGAGTACGGCGTGACAAAAAAATCGCATTAAAAAAGAAGTTAATTATCCGAGGGGGTGGGAGGCATTGGACTGAACCCCTCGATTGCTTTCTCCGCTCGGTGTGATGATCGCGTGTGGCTTAAATTAACGCCGTTTCATTTTTATTAGGGATGACCATATGCAGATGAATATCGTGGGATGCCAATAGAAAAATAAAAGACCATGTGTCCAAGTTGATAATTCAAACCATTTTCGATAGATATTAATTATTTAATTTTCCAGTTTTGTAAGAGGTAACGTTTTCTTTAAGTGCAAAAATCTATTTATTTTATATGTTGCCTGAAGTCTGACATTTGAAGATCAATCAGAAATGCTTTCTTCTTTAAAACTTCACGTTCACAGAAGTAATTGAAGGATACCTAATGTCTTTTGCAGTTTATTTCCTATCATGGAACGCCGATCTCTTTTAAGCCGAATTCATCGGAAAGTCGCCTATCGAAATATGAGCGGTTCAAGACTTCAATGACAAGTGAAACACTTGTCTTAGAAAATCAGCAAAGATGAATAAATGAAAGTGCGGAGTACAATCACTGTACCATTCTTCTCTGAATTGAGTCATTTCATTTTCGGACGAAGGAATGATGTGTAAATATGAATGGATTAGAAACGATTGCGATAAGATCTCTGCCTCATCCCCATTAACGACATTGAAAGAACATATTCTGTAGTGGTGATTAATGCTCAGTAACCGGGTGCTTATTTTGCAATTAAAGTAACAGCAGTACCTGTAGTTGTATTTCTTCATAAAGTGTGCCTTCGCTCCTGGAGACCCGAGAGGAGAATAAGCAATAACGGTTATACCCTGTTCCTTGCAGTAGTGGCGAATTTCCTTCTGTTGGAAATATGCATGCAGTTCCACTTGGAGGACAACAGGAGGTATTCGAGAATTCTTGATGATTCGGTCTATTTGAGATATATTAAAATTAGACAAACCGATTCCCTTCGCTTTACCTGCATCTACTTGCTCCTCTAGTGCCTGTAAAAAATTAGTTGATCAGGATGGCACCACGTTTGGGGGATTATTAGTACATCATTACCACCATGTTTTAGTAAAAACCAAAACGTGTCGTTCTCCTAGTAATAGGTTCTATGAGTTAGCATATTTCCGAAAAACTCCTGACTATCGAGCTTGGAACCTCTAAGCAAAGAAAAATATCTAAACAGAAAGATTAAAAAGTCACAGTACCTTCCAAATAGCCAAATGGTCAGTGCCCTTATCTAAAACCCAGTTTCCGTTTTCTTCAGCAGGCACTTCTCCACTGCTGTCAGGAAAAAAAGCAAAGGGATGGTGAAACAAATAAAGGTCTACATAATCCAACTGAAGGCGTTGGAGGGATTTTTTCAAATATTTAGGAACGTCTGAAGGTCGATTTCCAAAATGAGGCAGCTAGAAAAGAAAAACAGATGTTTAAAATAAATTATTCAAAATTTATCTTGACAATGATCACAAACCTTCCTATTTAGCGCTCTTTTACCTTCGTCGTTATGAATATATCATTACGTTTAATCTTTCCAGCATCCATCCATTCTTTGAGAACATTGCCGATTGTTTCTTCATTGGTATAATTAAATGCAGTATCGATATGCCTATAGCCGGCTTTAAGAGCCTCCTCCAATGCAGCTTTTACTTCTTCTGATTTTGCCTTGCGAAGTAATGTCTAATTATTGATTGTCTACATTCTAGATTACTAATACAAAATTAATACTAGTGAAATGTTACAGATTTAATACCTTTATGTTATGTAGAGAAAAATTAACTTAAACATCATACCTGCCATGTTCCTAGACCCACTAATGGAATTTTCTGACCGCTTTGCAGCGCAATACTGTTTGGTAAAGTCATTATCTTGCCCTCTGCACTGTGAACAACTCGTTTCGTTGATTATACGCGTACGCGTGTGTTCCTGTGTTGGGTTATTTCTGACGCTGAAACCTTTTTGTACTATTTTAACCGCCGGTTGAGAGGACACACAGGATCGATGAGGACACAGAAACTGGAGGAAGACGGAGCGCAGCGGCGGCAAATCAATTGCAGGAAGGGTTAGAACACTCAAGGTTAACAATCCCCTTGCGTCTTTTCTATTTCAACAATTGTGTTTATTATAGCATATCGACGTTTTCTTTTTTCGCGAAATAACTCGATCATAAATTGAATTCAGAAGCACATTATTTTATAATATATCTCGTCATAACTTTCTTATTGATCATATATGTTTAGAAAGTAACTGTAATTAATTATCACACTAAACATTTTATTTTTCTGTTTTTTAGAGGTAATTGAGGACGTTGTTTTTACTTTCTTGTATACGTACGTTGTATATTGTATGGAGTAATATACGGTAGAGAGAAAGTTGTTTAATTTTGCGGACACTATATTTCAGAATTTCAATAGAATTACACGTTTTGGGGTCATTTGACACTGAAAAATATTCAAAAGTTTCTCTTATAAAATTTTGCATTCGCTGAAATTCGTCCGTCCCCAAAAATTGCGCGCTGAAGGTTGCAGCCTTCTCAGACTTCAGTAATCTGGTACTGCTCCATACTGTGAGAGAATGTAATAAAAAGTATGTACTTTTTGGGTGTCAGGCATGATGGAAAGGCCATGGTGTCAAGGATATGCCATGGTATTATATATTAGTGGTCCGAAATCGACTTTCCGCGACATTACATAATCTTATGTTGTACGTAAAAACGGGGAAGGGGAGATAATATGGGGAATACGTATTCCCCGTTTATATGTATTCCCCGCAACGATAGATCCGGCCGATCATTTGGGAGGGGCCCTAATACATATTTTTGTAAATAATATATGCATTTGTCATTATATTGCATATTATTTTGTAGTACATATCAGGGCTGTCCAAGTTGCGGTGGCGGCGCTAGGCATGGGTAGACTGGTCAATCGCTCGGGTCCCTGCAAGTCGAGGGGCCCGATGATGGAAAAAATTAGAACTCGAGAAAATCATAATCGTAATTTTATAAGTAACGGTACAGTAGTCTGATAAATTATTAAATTTTAAATTATTTTTTTACCTTGATTAGTTATTTACAGCCATTACTTATATTGTAGGACTCTATGAAATGAGAAATGAATGAAATTACGCTAACATTAAAATAGGTTTCTCAGAAATTTATGTAATTAACAAGTGATTTTATTAAACACTAAACACAACAATTTTAGTGTTTTAAGTTTACTGCGGAAATTGTATTATTCGATCACTAAATACTTATACTTAAAACTATTATTTAAAATGTATTTCCAAAACCTATTTATAGCTTAAACGTTGTAATTTTTGTTATTTATTGAAATCAAATAACTCGTATACATTCTTGATACAACTTTCACATTTTAATTGGTTTTCGGGGGGAGGGGGCAGCTAAGTTTCAGCACCGTCGCGGGCACAAAATTGTTTAGCTCCAGCACCGCATGCGGCTTGCGGTGCCATTTATTGTGGCCCGCAAAAGGTTATTAGTCCAAGCTGAAAGTCCCTTCAAAATCATCCCAATGTGTTTCTTTGCCTTATGTATGGCATACCACACATGATTTCTACCATGTCTGATATCTATCCGCATGTAGTTCCATTCTCCACCTTCCTGGCTTGGGCAACTGCCGAGATCAACAATGGAGATGTCCTGTACAAGTGACTTTCGGTAGTTCGGAGGGCAGCACCATTGCCTCTGGGTGGCAACCTGCAAGCGGCAAAATGCTACAAGCCGTGAGCATATGCCTTTGTAACGTATTAGCCAGCGTGCCTCATGGCATCTATTTGGGGACGCTTGGCAGGATTAGCCTTGCCACAGGAAGAAGGGGTTTTCCGTTAAAGGAAGAACGCGGAGTACGGGAGAAGCACAAGGCTTTGGGGTTCTTCCGGTGCATATAGAAGCCTTTCATGTTAATAACAAGCGGAGGGGTTGGCGCTGACGTAGGAGGTCACGATGGCTCCTCGCTATAAACAGCAGGTGTACGGAGCCAGTAGGCAGGTTTGAGAACAGTGACGGAACCATCGTGCGTTGCACAAAACTTGGCGCAAGACGGATGTCATAGCGAGCCAGGTCGCGAGGCTGGCAAGTCATTTAGTTGACGAAGCCTGCGACTTATGTCCTTCGGGTGACTGCAGGTCCACGCCGCGGCACCGATGCTCGTGCTGCGCTCTGCTTCGAGGTGAGAGTGATGAGTGCCACGAATTCACGCCGATTCTCAATCGATAAGATCCGCTCCTGCCGACTCGAGGGCCAAACCAGCCTTGTGGCCAAACGGACTTTTCTGTACCAGCGTGACATCCACGGTCACGGAAGCTCGCTTTGTGCGCGCTTACACCAGTAGTATGGCCGAATGACACAATCACAAACCATCTTCAATCGGGTTTTGGCGATCCGCTCCGCGATCAGGGGAATGCTAACGGTTCTATCAGAGCTAGGGTGTAAGTAGATTATTAATGTATATATTGTTTTGTTTTCTTGTTAGACGAAAGCTCTGTGTCTGTGGTCGCTGTGAGTATCCATGACGTCACACCTTCATGCATACTAGCGGGCTATGCGTAGACAAACTATGGATGCTCTGTGGTCGTGAGCTTACGGATAAAACACGACATACGATTTTCTTTTAAATCGCCTAGATTATTCTTCGTCGGAGGGTTTCCCCCGCCTACAATGGTTTAAAAACTGCTTTGTTTCGCTCGCAAGTATGTACACTTTCTCGCAGTGAGGTGTTCCAAATGGTGTTCAATAGTGGGCTTGGCCAAAGGGGACAAGAGAAACAGAGTAAGCCTTTTTAGATGTCCTACTGTTCCCAAAAATCAGGAATGAAGGAAATCAGAATGTCAGAAATGTTATAACACCCTCCGAATTAAGAGGACAAAAGTAGATTTCTGCTTTGAAGCAAGAAAAGTTGGATGGTTATTTCAAGTCAGTGATATGTTTGGTTCCGCCTATCTTCGTAATTCGCAATTCACACGTATAAAAATTTTCTTGTCATTCTCAGACGTTTCATGGAAAAACGTATGTAGACTTTCCACATTTTTGCAATTATAAAAACAATCCACTAAAGGTCATAGCTCTCAATAAATGTCATTTATTTGCATTCCCTGAACGAGTTGTACAAACACAGGATCATAATACGTATGAACCACTAAAATTTTGTAGATCTTCAAGACTTTATTTGTATAAAAGCCAAGCCCAAATATTACGTAGGTCACCAAATCAACTGTTTTCTTTCGCCACCAGGTCTAGTAAGTGTCAATTTATTGTAAGAAATGGCATTAAATGTTCTTTAAAACTTGCCAAACAAAAGATATTGAAAATTCGTTTCATAAAAATGTTAACATTAAAATCAATGGAGATAAGTAATATTTTAAGCGCCTGACGTGAATATTGAAATTCAAGCATCAAAATTTGGATTCAGCACAGGAAACCCCCTAACATATTTTAAAAATATGATAAAAAGTGCAATATTTATTTATATTTTTAAATAACCATCTATTTATAACAATTAATACATTGAAAAATTAATAGTTAAATTATATTAAATTCTGGTTAACTTCGTGTTGAAAGTTCCTCCACTACATGAAAAATTACGAACATTTTTGAGACTGTGTTTATGAACATTCTGTTTTTCTCAAAAGATTATTAAAGTGTAATGAAGGTAATATATCTCTCGATGGTAATAATTAATACAAATTTCTAAAATAAATATTTAAAAAGCAGACAGTTCATAAAAGTATACGGAATCATTTCTACGCTAATAGCTCAGGGGCTCGAAATTCGTTGTTACTTTTCAGAACCGATGAATGGGCACGTGGAACCAAACGTTTCATACATTTCATTTTATTATAAAGCATCACATTAGCATCATCACTAAGGCCATGATAATATTTTTTTATATTCGGGGAAGTCAGGCGTGTATCACTCAAGTAACTTTAATACGGCCCGCAAACCATATTAAAAGGTTTTAGCTGTGGTCCTTGAGGCCTTGCAAGTTGGACGCCTCTGGTATATATCATACTATACACATTGTTTTTTTAAAATAATTACACATTGCTAACACAAATAAATATATAAATCAACTTTCCCAAATAAAGAAAGGTAACAAACGAAAACTCTACAGGGGAGGGGGTGGGGGTTATGACTATGCCCTACCCCCGAATCCGCCACTCGTATTAGGAAGTCTACAGGACTTCTATTCCTGATAGAAACTGTAAACTTCATGCATCGTATACTTCTGTACGTACGTTCGAGAAAGAAAACGCGTTTGGATTTTTAGTTTCTTTATTGTTATTCATAAATTTACAGAGTCTTTCACGATTCTTACGATCCAAAAGCACGGTAAATTTGAGGTTAAATATCATTCAGTCATTAAGTACATATGTCTAGTATTATCTATTATTTTGTCTAGTATTAGTAATCAATAATACCATTTCCAAGAACTTTTCTATCGCTGTAACTTACTTAGAAATACTTATTAAATTCATTTTATTAAATACAATTTATTAAATGATTCTTTTCATTTAGTTGAAAATGTATGAAAATGCTTAATTTGATAATTAGTAAAATCAGATGTAACAGGGCGAGACCAATTACAATGTCTACAACTAGATATTGTAGTTTTAAGTGGGGTAAATTACTTTATTATCATAGTATCATATGATCCATGACGTGAAGTGCCATTGTATTCGTTGTAGTATATCGTTATATTCATATTATAAATCATAATCATGGTATACTATACATGGTATAATACCTACGTATTATCCATGCATTAACCTTTTTTTATTATATTTCTTGTGTTGCAGTTGCAGGTTGCCGACCTGCGACCGACCCAGGAGGACCATTCACCGCTGATCGCCAATAGTCACACAATGGGCCGCAGTGGACGCGTTTGGGAATTTGTTAATAGAAATTTAGTTACTATTGTTATGGTTCCGTCGATAATATTAATACATTGGGGTTGGACTAAACTTCAAGATGTTGAAACTCTCGTTTCTAAAGAAGAGAGGGTAGATTTGCCAATTGTGATCGTTAGTATCCTCTTTTTAAAATATTATTTATATTATAAATGATTAACGTAATTAAATCTTTATGTATACATTGTAGGGTTTCCGGAGGCTGTTCGAAAAGGTGCTTGGAGAGAATAATGGTAAAAATGCTCAAAAAGAAGATTAATGTTTAGTTCCTGTTAGTTATACATTGAGGTTAGTGGTTTCGGTTTGTTCAGAGGAGAAAAATAATTGTAACGAACATTCCAAAGCAGTGTTATAGAAATGGAAGATAAATTGGAAACTGTTGTCCAAGAACTTCAAAGTACAGAATTTCTCAATATTGTGAGGACTTTCCTCGAATTTTTAAAATCATGTTTCGGACCCAGGGGAGGTATTAAAATTTTGGTGTCAAGTGGAGGAATTTCTTTTGTATCATCTTCATCCTCCAGAGTGTTGAATAACCACATTATTTCTCATCCTTTGTGTACCTTTGTGTCACAAGTAATGAACTCACAAACAATGATGTTTGGTGATAATGGTTTATATACAGGTATATTGACAATGAGTTTGTTAGAAAGATCTTTGAAAGAGAGTGAAATAACTCAATCTCAAACCCAACATTTAATTCAAGGTCTTTCATCACAAATTCATTCTCTTCTTGAGATGAATAGCATTAAGTTAAAATTGGACTTCAGTACTGTAACACAATTTCTTCCCATTGTTAAAGCAATTTTGTCCTCAAAACCAAGTTGTGGATTAAACAACAAAGAACTTGAAAAACTATCTGTGCAAATTATAAAGGTTTTTCTGAATACCATCAATGATGATTTTGGGGATATTATGATAATGAATGTAAATGATCTTCAAGAAACTACAGTTTTAAATGGTATTTTATATCAAATTGATATTGAAGAAAAATTTGTGCAAGATTTTGTTGAGGTTGTGACAGACAAGTTGCAGAAGAAAATTCCATTGCTTTTATTTGACATTATGCTTACTGATACAAAGAATGAATTGGAAGAAGTTACTGAAGAAGGTTGTACTCTTTTGAAAGAAGCAGTTTTTGTTTTTGAATATGCTGTGAAAATTGGTGTTAAAATAATAGCTTGCCAGAAAGTTGTACATCAATCTTTGCGACTTTTACTTCAAAGGAATGGTATATTACTAATGGACAGACTTGGTAGTGAGTTGTGTGGAACTGTTGAGAAAATGTCTGGTGCAAAGCCAATATCTTCTCTTAAAAACACCACTGTGAAGACTTTAAGGTCTTGCTTAGGCTCTGTGGATTCTGTGAAATTTATTAGATTTGGAAGCAAGCCCTTTGTAGTTCTGGAAAAAAACAGTACCAACACTGCTTCTTTGCTTTTATGTTGTTCCAATGAAGAAGCTTTTGTTGAACTGAAACTTATTACCAGACAGGCTTTAAAAGCTTTGCGACAGGTGACATGCCAACCGTTTGTGTTACCAGGTGCTGGATGTTTGGAAATGTGGTTAGCAACTCAACTGAGAGTGCAGGTATTGAAATCTTAATGTAAAAGCTCTGTTGACACCTCTTTTCTTATAGTGTGTCAATAAAGTTGGTATTCATTTCACTTTCTGCAAGTTTCACCTGAAAATTAGTTTGCACACTGGCATGTAGACCACTCAAGTATTTAGAGAGCACCGCTTTCAAACTTCCATAATCACAAATATATTACGTGTAGTTGGAGAAGTACTTAATTGAAAATATAACTTGCACAGCTCTGTGATGGCTACTTAGCAAAGACTAGTAAGGATGTAGTATGCAAACTGTTTCAAATTACCCAGACATTTTCATTAGGCATCATATAAATGAACGTTGAACTGAATGTCTTGACAAGCTATAAGAAAATTTAATGTCATCACTGTTATCAAACTAACCAAAATTTTTTTTAAAGGGAGTGTTGAGCATGTATATCTGAAAGCCTAATTTTTCAGTTGTGTTTCCAAAAAAAAACAAAAAAAAACGAGTTGTCAGGGGGCCTTTGAGTTAGCACCTACCACCTTAAATCACAATCCACATAATTAAGTTTTGCATAGACTTATCTTTGTTGTTGTTGTTGTTGTTGTTGTTGTTGAGAGAGTATTTTTAAAAGAAAGATGGTCTCTTCATATAGTTTATTAAGTGGAGGGTAATTTAAAAATACCTTCGCTCTTACTTAAAGGTAGGTTCCGATAGTCATGAAACAAGGAAACAAAGGAGTTGATGAAAAATAGACATTTTGACAATTTTAGATTTATTACATTTTTGATTTAAAACTATCAATGTTAAAATCAAATTATTAAAATTTGGCGAGTCGTAAGTTGCAGAACATGAAGGGATCAAATATTACAGTTTGTCCTATAATGAATATGGATTTCATTCAGTATTAAGACCTTTGGGGGTTATGAAAAAGGTGTATAGTTTTCTTTTAATTTAGTAATTTTTGTTGATGAAAAACTTAGTTGAAATCTGTTGGCTACTGAATTTAAAGGAGAGAAAATGGGAATTATGCAAGGCAAGAAGATACAAACTGTTTGGTATCCTGACAAAGCGGTAAAGAGCTTAAAATAGCTCAATATTTTGTAAGAAACATAGGATTTGAAGACTAAAATCATACGGCACATTGTTGAAAAGTTTTGTGCAAAGTGCAATGTGTGTGGTCGATTTGTAAACAGGTCTTGATTGGTGTTTTTTCTTTCAGGACACAAGTGACCCTGCCAAAATAGTTCTTGAAAAAGCAGCTATTGGCTGGCTGCAGAAGTCATTTATAACCATAAGTGCATTGTTGGAGACTTCTGACAAATGCATGGCTGCAGATACAGCATATTGCCACAACTGGAATAGTTGGGATCCAGATCTCTCAAGTTCATGCCGTTGTGGTCTTGTCAAAGCTGTTGATGTCAAAGCTGCTGGTGGATCATGGGTACAACCCAACCAATTCTCCATTAATGACCTATTATTTCCATTACCAAATCAATTTAATAAACATCCTCTTCATCCTAATCGAATTCATGAGGCTGCTGTTGTTGATGTACATATTAGTAAACGTAATGCTATAAAATTGGCCTTGGAGACATGTGTAAATATATTAAGCATTGGTTTTGTAGTGTACAAGTCGCCAATTAATTTTTAAATAAAAGTAATTTGTAAATATTTACCCTTTTGAAATTTCATTGCCAACTTTAGTGGAGGTTATGTATGTTTTTTATATATTTTTCTGTCCATTCTGTGAAGAGGGTGGGTAAAATAAGGATGGGTCAAAAACTTCAGAAGAGAGGGTATGGCTGATTGTGAAAATAAAAAAAAAATAATCTGTTTTTGATTTGGAATTGTTGGTTACTTATTAAAACATGAGGAAAATGGAACTTCACATTCTAATAAGTATTGAGTGTTTGCTAGTTGGAAGTTTAGATCACTCTATGTACACTTAGAGAAACAAGTGGGGATGTATCAAGTATTGAATTTCTTATACATCAACAAGGAGAAAGAAAGTAATAAATTATATTCACTGTTCTATACATACACTGCATGAATGTATTACTTGAGACATCCCAAAACAAACCCATCTTAACCTTTGCTTTCCTATAGGTTTCCTAGCATTTCCGAGAACCAAAACAGAAATGGTCCTTTGCTTCTGATCAATGCAAATGAAGTCCCTCATTTCCAAAAGATTTAGGCTATGTAAATTGTTTATGAATGTAATAATAGTTATTTATGACATAAGTATCATAAGACATCTTATTACAATATGAGTGGAGAATTATCAATTGAGGCCATTACACTGAGATTGATAACTAATCGTGTGTTATAATAAGATGTTACAAAAAGAAAATCATACAATTGTTTAGCCACATTGTAAATATTCCAAAGTGCTATAATTTTCGTTTAAATTTGACTACTTGTCCTGTGAAAAGCGACAGACTGATGATAACAGAAATAGATGATAGATTATTAGAATATTTTTGTTCTAATAATCTATTACCAAACACAGTTTTGTTCTAATATTACTTCCTGTGACACTGACTATAATTGTTAACAGTGGGCTAAGTAAGTGCTCTCACAACTCTCTTTTTGACACTCATCTCAGTCTTGAAAAATTTGACTTTAGAGGATGATATTTATAAATTATTATTAATCAATAATTATTATTATATCATCATTGTTATAATTATCTTCATCATCAAGTGCAACTTTCATCTCCATCATAATTAGAGTTGAAAATAGTCATGAAAATCCATCACCAAGTTGTGCCTAGCAGGAGTTTGGCAACTATGAATGATTAAAGACAGGAGAGTTGTATGAACGGTTGCAAAGGAGTATTCTTGTTACATTGAGTCAGAAAATGCTATTCAATTGCCTTCAGTGCAAGTGCATGCCTGCCAGTCGCATAAACATGTTATGTGGTTTAGCCTGGCCAACAATTCAACTGTGGGCTACTTAATGCATTTCAAAATTACAGTGGATATAACATACAATGTTTCTATCCTGAAAAGGTTTTAGTTATTATTTAATCAGCTAGTAAAACTTTTAGTAATTACATAAATAAAAAACATTACAGTTATCTAAACATACCCTAAAAAGCCAAAGATTTAAATTTTTCGGTATTCAGTTAATGTATGACATTACGTTTTTGGAAGTTAAATGGTGGGCCAAAGTTTTTGGAATGGGCCAACTGGTAGTTTTTCTGATCTTTGTGTGTGTTCTGTGGCGTCCATCTAGGAGTGCTAATACAAGTTAAAACCAACGTTGTCCTGATTTGGAGATAAAGAAGACTTTCTAGCTGTCTCGGTCGGCTTGCATGTAGCAATTTCATTTGATAACATTGTGTTCTACGGTCATGCCGGTGCAGCGAATGAAGCCTTTTTCATTTTGAATTGCGCGCTGAGCTGACTGCGTCATTGTAAAATTCCAATTCGTTCATTTCGAGCAGAGTGGCATTGCGTTTCGTAGTAATTCATATTAGTGTGTGCCTTATAACCTTAATTGCGTGATGACGTGTTTCACATTCTTTACCAACGTAAGAAATCGCTTTGTTGACACCGATATCTATACTTATTTCTACTGCTGATTATGTTTAGATCTTAATATTTTTATGACCATCATGAAAAGCTAAAAGCTAACTGACAAATAATACTGCATAATTACTTCGAATATTTTTAAGGAAGTGTTGTGAATTGTTCGAAGAAATCTGCCGATAATACTGAATAAAACTTTTTTGAAGATTTCGTTTCAATATCAATTGCATGGTTTTTTATTTTAATTTTATATTGTGTTAGTACATTGGAAGTTACCTTTATACATTTTTAAACAAATACATTTCGTTCACAACTTTCCTTCACAACAATAGGTTAGGGAAGAGTGGGGTTTAACATGCGAGAGTTCTCGCACGAGTACACGGATGTGGTAGTAGAGAAAAACTTGTGCTATGGCACAACTCAAAGAAAGAAATTTGGAGAGTAGCAAACATAAAAAAAACTAATTCAACGCATGTAAGTACACTACTTGTCGTGGCGTACTCAAAACGAGTTTCTTGAACTATGCGAGAAAAATGTTCTGAAATCCATTCTTGCTGAAGTTAAAGAAGCTCGTTATTTTATCACAATTGTTGACGTATCTTCCGATGTTTCTTATTAAGAGACATTTGTTTTATTGTAAGAAATGTGCTATAATGCAAAGGCACACGAGATGTCCATGAAAGATTCATCGAACTAATAGATATAAAAACAAAACTGGTTCAGATTTGTAAGAAAAACTGTTTTTTATTGAGGTCAGTGTGAATACAACTATATGCAAAAGAATGCGTCTAATATGTCGGGTATGATTAAATGAGTTGAGACGAGATTGTTGGAAGATATTTTTCCCAATTTGTTACCCTAGATAGTGGAATTCGTGAAAGCTCTGTGGAATTCATGCTATGGAAGCGAATCTACAGTCGAAGGCTTGTTTTGGAAAGTACAAAAATTGTATAACCCGTTTGCATTCGGTCTTGCCACATGAAAAATTTTACCAGCCACTGCTTCACTTCACTGTGTTTCAAAAACTAGATGAAATGCTAGAGTCGATACTGTTCGTTCACTAACAAACATTATTATGGTATTCTTCAAGCTTTAAGCAACATTGAAGAACTAAATTTACTTTCCGAAATCCAGTCAGTTCTCGATACCGTGGATGAAATTCTTTTGAAATCATAGTTTTTTCAACCCAACGTTATGAGGAAGAAAAGCATATCATATCGAGTTTAGATTTAGATTTATTCAGTCCACAAAAAAAAGTTTGTTGAAAGACGAGTAGACATTTAACATGAAGAAATAAAAATAAATTTTAAAAATCGCAAGATTAGTAATATTTGAAAAATAGTCATTTTCGTTTCTGAGTTATAGAAAACGTATTTGCATCGGTACACAAATTGCAAGTATGATTTTTCTGCATTGCTAACAAAATAGCTACTCGCCCTTACCTGTACTCTTACCATTACAAGCAAAAGGAGAGTTCAACAAAACGTGCACATAGTGAAGCTATATTTACGTCCAGAAGCAAAACAAGGGGCCATCTCAGCATTTGCTCAATGGATCAGGGAAACGACAAAAACCTGATCGAGATGATAATATCGAAATTAATCTCGAATTTCAACTTGAACGAAAAATAATGACGCGTTTTTTCGGTACATTCAATACACACATTGATACATCAAATACGCAGGTCGAGATTGAAGATTTTTTATAATATTAAGGATTTACTTCTATTAGAATTACGAGACCTGAATGAAAGAATGAACCAAATTGAGGTAGTGTTTGAAATACGATTTCTTTCAAACAATGCGGAATTACTAGCAAATGCTTATCAACATCTCCCATTTAGAACATTATTAACAGAAACGCACACACACTTGTTATATTCCTCTAGCCATTTTACCTTAATATACTAATTTGAATCACTTAATCCCTATGACAAAACTTGGTCTTTCTACAAATATTTCTATTGTTATTGTCTCTATCACTTCTCTGGTTTTGTTGATCCTCTGCGCTCTTAGACGTCAATTTGTGGTCGTATTCCCCGGACATCAGCAGTATATTCCAACGCATCGTCGGTTTTATGCGTTTACTGCATTTTCTTCCTAGCGGCACCATGGTTCTTTCAGAGCCTCTCCTTTTATATCGTACGTATTGGCATATTCGCTCAACCCCACAGTTCGATAGCTTCTGCCTTCACAATTTTTGGCCCTTGCGACCAACGCCACAGTTCGAGCGCTTCTACCCCCGGCAGTTCATCAACTCACTTGTTTCTTCTTGTTTCTTCGTACTTCTGGGCCGATTTTCTCCTACTTCTTACTGCCTACCTCTCTTCTGATTGAATACGTTTTCACGTCCGGTTTCCCCATACTCTTATGATTTTAATATTTCCATGGAAATTCCCCTCGTGGTCATTACAAGTTTATTATTATAACAATTGCACAATTTTGCTCGTCTATTTACTCTTCGCCATTTTTCTTAAATTATTTATGAGCTCATAAAATATTGACAATTCACTCATAGAAAGAAGATTTAAAGTAGGCAACTAAAGTATATTTTTATCGATTCTTGGTGAAGATGAGGCAGCCAGTCTGCGCAGAGGACAGTTGAGCAGTGTTTTGAAGCATCATACTCACCATTTCTCATACTTACCAGCCTCATACTTACCTATTCCTTGATTCATTTATTCTCAGCAATTGATTCATTTATTCTCTAGAAGGACCCATAGGAAATTTAGGCTCTCCAGACACCTGTTTGAATCCCCTGAGAGGTCAAACACTACCATGAAAAGTAATTGAAAACACTGCCTACTGATGTTTTAATTTAAATGTAATTAAAATAAGGAAGTTGTGTTCATAATTAAAGTAGCAATTAAACCATTGGAATATTGACAATTATTAATTTTAAGTAAATAGTGCTGCAGATGCACGGAGCTGAACAACTCATTGCTGATGTACAATTACGTTTAGGCGAGCACAAAGTGGTACGGATGCACTTAGATGAACCAAATGTTGTCGAATGCACAGTTACATTATAGATTAATAGAGAGCCGCGAACACAGCTCGATTGTACAGGATTGTCGAATGCACATGATCACTCTTCAAGTTAACACAAGTTGCGAACATACAGCTCGAAGATTGATGTCGAATGTTCATGGTTACGTTTTAGGTTGACACACAGCTGCGAAGATATAGCTCGACGAGCAATGTCGAATGAACACGATTACGGTTTTAGTTAACATAGAATCACGGACATAGATTGAAGACTGATTGTCGAATGTACATGATCACTTTTCAAGTTAACACAAGGCCGTGGATGCGTACGGCACCACGACGAGACAGCTCGCGGGCGGGCGGGCGCGCGCCCTGCTCACCCGCCCTCCTGCCCGTCCGTCTGTCTGCCCACCCCCTGCCCACCTATCTGCCTGCCTGCCCGATTGCCCGCCCGACTGTACGCCTTTCTGGCCGCCCCTCATGAAAAAGCATTTCTATGAAGTCAGGGAATAATTACCAGTGTCATAATGTTGACATGTACTTGGTGGCTTTAATATCAAGACTAATGATTCTGCGCGAAATAATGCCTCTACAGACATGGCGAAGCATGTTAACTTACTACACTGGGTCCTGCTGGCGCTCTCCTGAGGGGGGAGGGTTTGTGGTTGGTACTCGCGCGGCGCCAGGTGGACTCTCGCCGTGTGCGAGTAGTAGCACGCCGCGCTGCCCAAGATCGATTTTTCCCTTAACGGGAGTCGTATAGTTTTTGTACCAAACATATTATCTCTTAAATTGCTCTCTACAATTAAATATGAAACATTTGGAAGAATTTTACTTTTCTCGACACCAAAAAATTACTAAATTGAAATAACTAACATTTACTGAACAAACTGTTTAAACTACACTTCACTATAATAAATGATAATACCAATTAAAAGAATCAATAAAAGTAAAAGATTTCATTTTTTATATGTATATGCAAGCTATGTATATATACAAAGCTAAGTACATACGTATATTTTATTAGCCAAATTAAACAACTAAATGCCAATTTATGGAAACTTGATGCATTGCTAGAAACATTGGTAGAAAATTGCAGCACAATACAGATGTAAGGATTGAATGTTAGCGGAATTTACGGATATAGTCTTTTTTTCGCTGCAAATTTAAATTGAGACTTGTGCTAAAACAGCACGCACTTTCTCGCCTTTACTAAAGGTTATGTAATTCTATTTACACAAAACGTTTACACCAATTTCTCAGTCATAAGGTTTTGAAAAACCTATTTGAAATCGTAACATTTGGTACGAAAATTAAATAGTTTCAAGAAATAGATTTTTTATTCACACCTTTAAATGAAAATAAGTTTCTGGCATTGAATTTGTTGTATAAGGTGTGGAGTGTATTCACGAACATATCCGAAGAGTTTTAAGCCTTATTCTGTAGGTCTTCGGTAGTGATATTATCAACACCTGCTCTGTTAGTTTTTTTTAACTCGCCAGCTGTCGACGTATGCTTTGATTTATTTGTAGCGGCTCTACACGTACGTCAGCGGTGTTATTGTCATCCAATCGGGAGCTTGAATGTCACTATTGTGACGTCACTATGGTGACGTTCAAGCTCCTGATTGAATCACGCTGTAACAGTTAATTAAACATCAAGTATAATTAAATCGTATGCATCTGATAAGTTTGCATATAGGTTCAAAGAGGATTGGCAGGGATGCAACGTTAATCAGAGAGGGATGTTGAGGCGAATAGCATTCGCATGACCCCAAAAGACGAAGTTGTAGGAAAGTATTTTATCTCTTGAATATTGGTATTTACAGTGAAAATTCTCGGTGGTTTAAACATATATGTACATCCAATAACAAATTAACAAAATATGTAGAACTTCAATAATTAGAGCAATGCAGAAAAACAATGCTAGCTTGTTATCTGATATTTGTGTTGTAAAACCATTTACACAGAAAGCTTGCACACTGATTGTTATCGTATGATTATGTAATCATACAATACAAACTCATCACATTGGTTTAAGATTTGTCAGTGAATTTAATTGCACACATTCAATTAAATAATTTTACCAAAGCACACAAAATAAAACAGACATATGAATTTCAATATAAAAATGTTATAATACAATAATATTGAATTATTATTTTGTTATTGTACAACAGTATTTTTTTTATACATCGAGGCACATTAGAGTTGTTCTCATTTGTTTAGCAGCCATATCTGTTTGCCCTCTGTGGAGATTCCCCTCAGAGAACAGAGGTGGTTTTTCTGCTAGTGCTGCCACTTAGTTGTGATTTTGCCAGCTGCAGTCCCTGCTAATAAAATGTTTTATAATGTAGAGCATGGACGGACTTTTTTATGGCTTGTTAGCACCATTTGAGCTTGAACAGTTTAAATTGGACACTGTTTCACGAAACAATATGAATAAGACACATGAATAGGTGGGATTATTTTGCATAAAATTAAATGCACTTAACATTTATGTATACGTGAATCGTAATTTTAATATTTGCCTAAGACATTTATAGCCTACATTCCTTTAAGAATTTTCTGTAATTTGTAGGATTTTCATTTCTATAATCACCTAAGATGTAAATTTTAGAAAAAGATATCAATTAACATTGTCATTTAAAAGGCATAAAATGAATGAAATTCAAATTTTGAAACTATGGACATACTTTCATTGAGCGAGGAAGTAAATGTTTTTAAATTTATATTAACATTTTCTGAAAATATACAATTAAAACTGAGTTCCCTTTAACAGTAACATCACATTATTTAGATTGAGGCGTTCAAAACCAACTTTCAGTGTAGTCTTGGTAGTTGTTTGGAGAGAGGCATTTTGAGGTAAAATGCCATTCTTCGTAGTTGACTTCTTTCAATGCCTGAAAAGAAAGGTTTCACTAGCCATAAGGAAACAGTCAAGTTGAAAACTGTGCTCTGAGATGGATTAATGTTTTCTGAATTGGAAAGATGATTGCACATCTTCAGTCTGATTTAGGGAATGTACATTTCAGTATTTGGCATGATGACTGCAGTCGAGGTCCACTGACGGGTCCAGGTGTAGGTTACTGCAGCCAGCCAGGCCGTCATATAGTCGGCAGATGGTCAAATGTCTGATTACCTTTCTGTGTCACTGTGGAGCGGAAATCTGGGCTTGCAGCGTTGCTTGGCAGCTGAGGCAGGGTCATTGGGCCTGTACTATAGCTGGAATTCTGAAACAGAAAAAACAGTTTTAATGGTATCCCTTTCCTGTGTTATTTCCTTACGTTAATAGTAGAGTGAAAAATATCTGGCATCCCAAAATAATCTTATCTAGTATTCCTTACAATTATTGTTTTAGTATTTTTTAAATTGAATAATATTCTTCATAAGGTAGTCATATTATGTAAAATACTTTTTGAACTACACTCATTCTAAAGGGCAATAATGATTAATTTTCTCGTAATAACCATAATGCACATTTTGGTTTATATTTAGATACAAAAAAGTAGAACAAAATTTGATTAACGATTTTTTAGAAACTCTACCTTTATACCAAAATAAACTCTTCATTACGGCGTGATTTTTTGGTTGCGTGGGGAATTGAGAGATCCGATCACAAAGCAGCGGCGCCCAGAAAGAAGTGTGTAGGGAGAGGGGGGAGGTAGCTGGAGCAACTTCCCTCAGGCTCCGAATTTACTAGGGCCCGGAATTTTTTTCATATGTAATAAATATAAATGTTTCTAAGGAAAATTAACCCATTATGCTATATTTAGGTGTCGTATTTAATGAAATGTGATTTTTATCTTTTCTGTTTAGAGCAATGCCTTTTAATATAGATATTAAAATCATGTTATGACAGAAGGAAATTACCCATTTTTTATTACTTTTTTTTCATTTTTCCATGATTTGACTAATCGTTATTTTACTTCTTCGTCATTTTTAAATCATTTTCACTGATTTAATCGATTTTAATACCATTTTCATGGTGCTTGCATCAAGGAATACTTACGAGATATAACAAATTTTCTCCACTAAATTCCTGAGTAGCCTATTCGATTTCTTGGCTTAGAAATTATAATGCCAACCATTGTATGTAATCTAAGGTACCTGTGTCGCCTAGCAGTGCCATTGTGTGTTCGGCCGATTTTGCGATGTCTAAAGACAGAGAAATCTTGGTAAAGAACAGCCCAAGCCAAATTTTTCAAGCTGAGTTCACTTGAACGAGAGGAAGAAGCCTCAGAGTCAGTAACATATCCGGCAGCTTAAGTTGTTCATCTGAACCAGTTTTGATCAATTTTGTGACGTAATTTTTCTTTGCTTTTAGGGACTTTTAAAACATTTTTAGAACATTTTATTGATTATTTTGGCGATGTTTCAGGTTATCAAAATCCGCTCTCTAGTTTTATCTGTTGAATGGAGATTTTAATTATGTTTATGTACTGTCAAGAGAGGGGGTTTTGTTTGCAATATTGGGGTGGTGTCCCGTGGATCTTCTGCCCCATGCCTCTTGTTTTCTCAGGACGAAAATTGGTTTACGGCAAAACGTTTGTCCGTCCGTTTGTGAACAATACTAGTAACCGAACTGTTGGCAGGATTATCAACAAAATTGACATTCCCAGGTCTATCTGATGTTGTGGTACCTTGAATTTGAAAGGTATAGTTAGATTTATGGAAGTACTTCACATGAATATATTCTACATTCTAATAAAAATAATATTATTTGTAAATATTTTGACATTGATTTGTTCACATTAATTTGAATTACATTGCCATGGTGATTGTGTGAAACAAACAACACTTTTTAGGTCTTGGCCGCGAAATCTGAACTTTGCAGCCGATAAATGATCCTCAAAGTACGGCTTTTGAAGGTCGTATATGAAAATCTTTGCTTTGATGCAATCTTTTAATATTTCAAAAAATCACAAATGAGTTTTCAAAAGGTGTTACAATATTACGTAACCATTACAATAATGCAAGAAAGTAGGCGCTGTGTAGCTCCACTAGTTATTTATTGAAAGGGAATTGGTCTTATTAAAAAGATTCAATTTTGAAAGAATATAATCAGTGTATATTAGTACAAATTCTCAAGATTGTACATCCCGCACGCCAACAAAATGATTAATTTATTACCAATTTCAATATTACTGTTTGAGAAAATAAATTAATGTAATGCAGGTGTATTTTCATCGGTCCCAATTATTGCCACATTCTATAAATGAAAAAAATATAATTGTAAAAATTAATTTAGATTCTGCAGGTGACTGCGTTTTTATTTTAGTTTTAGTAAAATATCAACATATTTGTGAACACGAACAGCAAACTTTCATTTTGGAGGTTGCAAAATAGTATTTGATTAAATAATTGAAAATCTTCAGGAAATGGCTAGTCAAAACTCAGACTTTTTTGACACAAGAATGTATATTTTTTTGAAAACATGAAAAACCATCAGAAAAATTCTTATGAAACTTGTAAATGTTTATTTTTCACTTGTAAAATTATATTTATTGTTTCCACTAATATTTCAAGACTACAGTAAAAACGTAATAAATTCCACGATAAAAAAATCTTGCAGTGTTAAATTATTGATATTAAAATATTCCCAAATGCTCTGTATTTTACAAGTTTTCTACATAAGGCACTAGAACTATTGTAATAACTTTGTTAAGAGAAAAAATAATTGAAATTAGCGTTGTAATCAATTCCTTTTGAAAATGTTGCTATTATCGTTTACAAAGCGTTGGCTGGGAGGTGCTCAGTTACTAATAATGATTGTATAATTTCCAATTAGTATCACTTGTTTTTCTTTCGAGAGAAACATGTGTTACAGTTTTAACCTATTCACGATTAACAAAATTCAAATGATAGTTACCCTCGACCTGTCTCGCAATCTTCTTAGCTTTTCAAATTCTTCCACTTCTGAAGCAGGCATTTTGAAGTGGAAGTTGTTGAAGTATGCATGCTGAAGAAGCTGCTCACACGTCCATCGTTTACTTGGGTCCTTATCCACACATTTCTGTAAGTAAAATTATAGTTATGTTTTACAATGACAACTGTTTTGATGTGTATATGCTAAATACTCTTGCGTGTATTTCTGTCAATAAACTAGATAACTTAGGATCAGATTTGGGACTGGGGAGGGGGCAAGGCGAGTAGACCATTTGGATACAATTAGATAGGGCTTTATAAAAGGTAATGCACCATTTTATGAAGCAAAATAGGGTCTTTTCGCGTAATTTCTATTTGAAGTTAATGCAATTTATTAAAAAATACATTACTTCAAGAACTGCTTTAAATTTGTTTCTTTAAATTATTTGCTCGGATAAAACAAGGGAAGCTTGAAAGAGTGCAATAGGTCTCATTTTCGTTGAGCTCTCTGAATTTTCGAAAATTGTAAATTTAGAAATAATGCAAGAAAGTATGACTTTTTTAACACCACTAATTATAAGAATTCCAAAAAGCATTGAACGACGCATGGTCAATATCACAAATATTTGTTGGTTGTTTATAAACCTCGGGTTTTACGCCAGTAAACGAACTATTTCCCGTTCGTTATTTGATCGAATAGTATCCGCCTAAGAACATGAACACCTTTTAGTTTAATATATTGTAAATTGTATTAAAATAATCTTATGAACGGAGTAAATTGGATTGCTCTACTTTGCGAAACATTTTAGTCAATAATGAGGGATGAGAAATTAAAAAAAGCTGTGAAAGTCATTTTCGTCAGTTTGTTTTAATGTTGTTCATTTCCAACAGACCCCTTCTGTCTGCTAACAAGTAGCATTGAAGAGAGAATTTAAATACTCTATGTATTTATTGAAAATAATATAATTCACTTTGTTTATCATGCAGAATTATTTGAGAATATTGTTCTTGAATTTCTTTGCTCACCTCTAGAAAATCGAGTATATGTGGATTATTGTGGGGAAGTTTGGTGTTGAGAGGCTCGATTGTATCCGGTTCTGGCAGGATCACTCCGAAAAAGAACTCGTTGCTCTTGAAGACGTTCATATGGCGGGGGATGAGGTCTCCTGTAAAAATTCAAAAATAAAGAATCCTGAATATAAAAATACAGTCATAATCCAAGAATACTTTCATAACTCAAATTACAGAACATGACATTGGTCTGTATGAAGTTGTGTGTTCGAAATGTCACAATAATTAATTTTTATTTGAAGCTTGGACTTTCTGTTCTGAGACGCCTGCGTGTGTTGAAACACATTCATTGATTGAAAGCATTAATTGAAAGGCCTCTTATTTATGTGTAAGGTTGATTGTGATCGTGGATGAAATGCATCATATCTGCGTCTGGTCAATAACGTACCTAATGTCTTCCTTATAAGGTACAGCTGGTCCACATCCGACTTTCCGGGCCAAAGTGCTTGACCTTGCACAAGTTCGGCAAAGACACATCCTGTAACCAATCACGGAAACAATTCACACTTTTTCACACTTTAAATTGACAAGAGTTAATCATAAATTACTTCTAAAAGTTAAATCTACAATGAAACACAACATTAAAAATCTGTCCTCCGTAATATTATAACTATTTCTTACCATTTGTATCTATTTTATTTTAGAAATTATGGTCATCATTATTTATTTTGTACAGAACAGTAATAAAACAGCTTAAAACTGCTAAAAATTGTCGGACAGATATACATCGCTTCACTTTATTATTTACTTACTTCACGAACACCTGAAAGTTTTCGATTCAGAGAAGGTAACTATAGTTTCTAGGCTTCTAAACTTGTGGTGTTAAAACAGAACATACTTCCTATTATTATTATTTGAAACGTTTAAGTAATATTATAATGCTATTTGAAACAGCAAAATATTTTGAAACCGGAAAAATACTTGAAATTCGCAAAAATAGATCACTTTCGTGGGATTTGAACGATAACAGTAGGAGTAGCAGTAGTAGTAGTATAGCGAGTTAAATTACACCCTAGGGTGTCTCTCGCATCCCAGCCTCCACATCTTTCTATCGGTGTAGTCTTCATTACTTAATCCTCTCTTCTCCATTGCCTCGTCCACTCCCTCTCCCCATGTACGTCTAGGTCTTCCTCTTCGTCGGAGGGTTGCTAGTTGACATTTCCACAATATTTTTGGCCGCCGCTCTTCGTTCATCCTTTGCATGTGCCCATCTATAATATCTGCCCATCTATAATATGCCCATTTATAATATCTTGCGTACTGCCTCCATTTGCATTTATTTCCGAACCGAGGTATACGAATTTTTGATAGGGTTTTACTTCCGAACCATCATCCAGTTTCAGACCTTTAGCACTTCCTCCTACAACCAAATACTCAGTCTCGTTAAGGTTTATTTCTAAACCCCATTCCGAGTGCTCTTCATATAATTTTCGCAGCATGTGTAGAGCATCGTCTTCATTGTCAGCGAACACCACCTGATCATCTGCGAAATGTAGAGAGAATAACATAGAGTCACCAATTTTAATACCCATAGTACAACATTTCTTTCTCCATCTTCTCAGGGCTTCATATATTTTGAACAAATTCGGGCCTACACAACACCCTCGTCGTGTACCTTTATTTACTGGAAATGGTGCTGAAACGTTTCTCCCTATTTTTATTGGGCTATTGGGTATTATCACTGTACAAATCTTCAATGGCGCTAGTAAATTGGTACTTATATTTTGTTTCTCCATCGCCATCTATAGCTTAGGTAATGTAACAGTGTCGTAGGCCTTACGCAGATCTTACAAGTTGCGTCACCAATTTATGGGCGAGATGTTTGTCGGTTACTTGTCTAATACTGAAAACGTAATGAATACATGGGCGCCCCGCTCGAAAGCCGTTCTGTTCCTCGACATCAATGAGGTCTCTTTCCTTCTCTTTTTGATATTTTCTCATACACTCGGCCAATGCTGCTAAGGACAGATATATCTCTATAATTTGCACACTGTTTTCTATCACCTTTTTTGGTAGATGTTAGATATACTATATTCTTTCTTGAAGTCCTTGGGTAATTGTTCCCCCATTAATCATCGATTGTACAGTTGAGCAAGAAGATCCAATAATAAACTGGGACAATGCTTCAGCAATTCAATGTTTACCAATCCTGGACCGGCTGCTTTTCCATTTTTAAATCTCTATATTGTTTTTCCAGTCTCTCTCACTGTAATATATTCCATATCAGCCGGTTTCTCGAGCTCTATGTTGTACGTGTTACTAAATGCAAACCTATTTTCTTTCAAAAGTTCTTCGTAATATATCTTAAATTGATCTATACTTAAAGGTTGTTTTGCTTTTCGTTTTATGTGAGATTATTTATTATTTTTCTTGCGTTCTTTGATCTGGAATTGCCTATACTCTATTCTACATTTTCACATTCTCTATCCTAAGCTTCATTGCTTTTCTTCTTGTTTAACTTCTCTACTAATTTGACGATACCGTTCTCTGTCTTCCAATATCTTGAGTGCTTAATCATGTATTATAAGCAATTTTCTTGTCTCGCCCTTTCCCTGCCAAAGAATTATTCCACCATGAGTCACGAATTCCTTTCCCACCAGTATGTTCTATTTCTCCGAGGCTCACATAAGCTGCTTGATGTACGGCATCTACAATTCCATCGTGGAGTGTTTGCTTAGTTGTTTGGTTCACTTCTAAGAGTTCCTTACTCGACCTAGGCTTGTAGAGAAAGGATATAGACGGATCTTCAAGCAAACTTCCTTTGTATTATTTTTTATCTATGGTACTGGATACATGAATTTCCGATAGCTGTGTCTGGCTTACATAAGGAAGGTACACTCTTGATTTCAACAAAAAATGGCATGAGTTGCACTCGGCTCCTCTATAGACTCGAACATCATCGAACTTCATTGGAGTACGCAAACCTCCTCGCCCGCACGGACAGTGCTACTTTAAGGCGGTGTCTTCAGAGGAGGGATATTAGATAAAAATTAATTTTCAATAATATAATTCATTAAGGAACTAGTGGTGCTACAAAAGCACGCACATTCTCGCATTATTCGTAAGGGTTATGAAATTATATAATACTATTGAAATCCGCAAACATGCTTTGAACCCGCAATTTTTTTGCCTACGCTGGGATTCGAACCTAGCTACTCAGATTTCGCCAGCCATTTACTTTCCCACTATAAAAAACAGCATACGAATTTTCTCGACGTTCAAAAAAAAGTTGAACTTCTACAATTTTGGAAAATTCAGAGAATTCAACGAAGATGGGACCTGTACCATTTCTATAAGCGTTCTTTGCTCATTTCGAGAAACATTAACTGATAGCTCCCCGGCCTGGTGACCGAGATCACAAAGCCTCGAGCGCAGTAGCCACATTCGGTTCTTAAAAATATTAGAGGTATTTTTTTGAAAAAGCATTGAAAATGTCGTAGAGGAATGTCATGTAGAGGTATATCAAGGAATGTCATGTCAAGGAAGCCCAAAGTAAAATATACATTTAAAATTCAAGAGGCTGTGTCATCAGTCAGGTCTTTAAGAGCATATCAGTTTTGGTAAAACTTCTGCCTTCCTTTAAGCCGCTAACGTTGTTTACAGACGGAAAGACGTTTTGCCGTATACCAAATTTTCGGAATCAAGAGCCCATAAAACATTGATTTTTATTATACAATGTATAATAGGAAGTAATTTGCTACATACAAATGTAAGAATTATTTATTTTTTGGGTATCGATGTGCCACATCTCAATACAATTTTTGCAATCGAAAATTGCTATTGTATCATTAGAATACTTCTCTATATTATGTAAGTAGTGTGCGAATAAGTAGACACATCTCGTATCTTCAATAATATAGATGAAGGGGGAGATAAAAACATTTGTCTTTTGCAATTGTCGAAAATTGAGAGGTTTTAATGAATATCAAACCTGCTTCTCTTTTATAAGCGTATAGATGAATATATTTTGTAGGAGATAGAACTATTTACAATAGTTTTCATTCCCTCCTTTGAGCGCTCTGTAGTACTATATGCTGTAGAGTTATTACCTCTTGACTCTTTCAAGGAATCCGAGGCACTTGCCTTGTTTACCCCACTAGCCGAAGTGGCTGATGGGACCACACTTCGTTATGTAAACTTACTAATCCCCCTACTAGCGCGATCCGAGGGCCCCTACATCGCTAATTATCCAACGACCATGGCTGGACATTGATAGTGCCCACTGTGTCCTGTAGGATGGTATGAAACGCAACCTGGAATCACCAGCCCCAAACTGTTATCGGCTGGAAGGCAGGTTCTGGAGAGTTTTTCGAGAAAAGCGCGAGCATGCCTCTTCTGCATGATCCATCGACACCCAAACGCCCCAGGAACAAAGGAAGATGGATGCATGTTGAGTGTGACGGTACATCATGCCGCAACACAGGTAAAACGACCATGACTACGGGTGATTCGAACGCAGAACCTACGCTGGAAAAAACGTCGCTTCCGCACTCGTGGATTTGCAAGGATGAGCTATCACTTATTTTTCGGCATAATTAAAACATCTAGTAGAAATTCGAGTGTAACCGTAGTATATATAGTATATCCCGATTTAAACATCGTGGACTTTGCATGTATTAAAATGGAAATATAGTGACTTTTATTTATAAAAATATTTTATTAATGATACTTTACTTTCGTAATGATACTTTTTCTGACTGGCCATATGGTTATCGTTTCATTTGCTTCTCCTCAAAATTCGTGGGTTCTTTTGGACGAGTTGCCGATTTCACCATTGGATAGGCACGATCATTCAAAAGTTTACAAACATTTTTGGTCTCTGACACCTCGTTTTGAAATAAGCGTTATATACTTTGATACATTTCTATGACTGCTAGTGGATTTCCTTGACCGCGAGGAAAGAAATTTCACTTCAACAACTTTTTTGTGAAAGGAATTTTTTGATTACACAATATTCAGTGGCGCACAAAAAGGGGGGACTTAGGGACCTTGATACATATTAAAAAGTATAGAGTTTACTAACTTTCTACACTAATGAAAGTCATTCAGTATATCAATTATTAATAATTCATCATCAATTATTAATAATTGATATAATATAAATAACAACTAAAAGTAAACAAATAAAAATAATTGTATATTCAGCATTAATGAAAAATATTTATAAGGAAACATCAGGTCGGCTTGTCACTTCGCCAGTAGTCTCCCCTCTCCGAGAAAAATCATAGGTGCACCTCTGATAATACTCGTAACATAGCATTTTCAAAGCATTCCCGACTCTCATTATTGACAACGTTCGTGGAAACCTACTAGTAGAGTTGAACTTACCAATTGCCCACACGTCGACGGGAGGTCCGTACATGGTATCTCCCACCAGGAGTTCAGGAGCTCGGTACCATCGTGTTGCCACATAGTCTGTGTAGTTTTCTCCTGGACCTAAAAAGAAAATATACAAATGAAAAGTCTTCAGGTTCGAGAGAGATCTAATATATCTCTCAATGTTTGTTAGTATGTTATGCGCTGCCGTACCATTCATCCGATTGCGATAAAATTTTGCCTACTTATTGCTTGCACTTGCGCGAAGAACATGGACATTGTACAATGGGAATGTGTAGATGCGCGTTGATGATTTTATGATTGTATGCTAACTCAAGCGTCCCTGAACAGCTCTACGCAACCCGCCGCACTCTTGTGTATTAAGTGCATCTTCGCTGCATATTCTGCCCCGGCTATTGAGAAATATTGGACGGAATTATTACTTGAACGTTATCTCGGACACAAAAATCAATTTTCTCCAAAAGAGTGTCATAGCGAATGCATGCCCAAACTTTAAGGGAGAACGTTTTAACATTAAGATACTTGACAACCATGTCCAAACCAGGACTTAACCAGGCACAAACCCATACTCGCGAGAAAATCTTTCATCTATTAAAATGTTTCCAGAGCGTAGCGTACAACGGGATAAACAATCACGTGGCCAGTAGCGTGTGAAGCGGAACACATTGCAATAGCGAAGCATTGCTGGATCCCCTAGTGTTTAATACATATCAGACCTCTGAACTAGTGGACAAGCAAGACTAGCTCTATATTTCTAAGTTGTATTTTATTTTATTTACTAAATGTATACTGTTTCAATTTTTTTCTATAAATTTATGTATTACTTGGTTAGGTGGAAGAGCGGGCCTGATGGTCTGTTTCTCTCCACATAGTCACTATTATTATTATTATTATTATTATTATTATTATTATTATTATTATTATTATTATTATTATTATTATTATTATAGCGGAGATTTGCAATGCACTCGTATCTTGGCAATAAATCTTGATCCCAACTTCTGTTGTAAATGACGGAGCAGTACTCTCACAAATGAGCCACGTACCGCGCGCAAACTTTCCGTCCCCTTCCGTGTCCTATCCTCACCCCTTACTTTCAAACTCATGTTCTGCACTTTAACACATGTCGGGAGACCACTCGAGAGCTTCGAACTTGTTCCGGCTGGGGCGACGCTCTACTGGTGGGAGATATCTGGATGGGAATAACCCAGCAAATTGACGGTTAGGTTGGTGCCGATCTCGCCACCCAGCCGGGGAAGAACATCGCTAACTCAAGTGATGAAACACTAGCTACATTTACGGGACTAGTGACTATAGTACTCGAGGTGCTATGGAAATATGAAGTAAACAATTCAAGTATCGTTCTACCACAATGAAATAAAAGTTCTATTAGCAAATATCTTATGTTTCCAATGAGCCTTTAAACTAAGTAGACGTTAGTAGCAAGTGGAACTAACAAAGAAGTATTATTTTTTCCGAATTTTTTTTTATTTAGTGAACTGTCATGTACCACAGCCAAATCCAAAGAACTTCTCGCGATTTTGTTAGGAAGACACTAATGCAGGCTGTAAGAGCATACATTATCAATCACTGCTAATGACAAGCTCCGTAGAATTGTGGCGCTAATGGAAAATTCTCATTCCAGCATGATCGCGAACATTTTACTTAATGTCTTTCACCTGTATGTAGAATTTCCGTGCTGAATATTTATTATATTGATATCGATAATGGAATCTGTTTACGTCAACTTTGAAGGTGATTGTGAATAATACGCCCTGGTTTAAGTTTAAATTATAATTTCGTTAACATTGTGAATAACGCTTAAGACCAATTATTTTCGTCAAGAAGAAAGGGAAACCATCCAACCTCGTGTTTGTCTCTTTGAACACTCTCTATTAGTCGCTTTGATCGTCTTCACGCTAAGCGCGTAATATAAGAAAGTCGGATGGTACTCACTGAGCATGCGCGCGAAGCCGAAGTCGCACAGCTTGACGACGCCCTGCGCCGTCAGCAGGATGTTCTCGGGCTTGACGTCGCGGTGGATGCACGCGTGCTGGTGGCAGTAGGCCACGCCCTGCAGCACCTGCCACGTGATCTGCTTCACCAGCAGCTCCGGGCAGCCGCGCGGGTACTTCTCCAGCTCGGCCAGCACCGTGTGGTCGCAGAACTCGAACACCAGGTGCAGCCGCCGCTTCCGCCGGAACACCTCCAGCAGGTTCACCAGGTTGGGGTGCTTGAGGTTCTGCGCAAACACACCCGCAGTTCATTGATTGTTTAGTGATTCCGGGCACGTCAACTGCTCAGCTCATTGGGCGTGAAAGTGTAGTGCAGGTTTTCTTTGCGGGAAGGGGTGCTGATCTTGCGTCAGTCTACGCGTAGTTTCCCTAGCCAGGTTTCTCCCACCAGCGGGGCACCGCCCCAGATGGAACAAGCTCTAAGCTCCAGATTGGTGTGCTGACAAGTGTAGTAGTGAAATACATGTAAGTGTGTGTAAGTAAGGGAGAGAATATGACAAGGAAGAGGAAGGAAAGATTGCGCGCGATCCATGGCCCGTTTGTTAGAGTATTGATTCGGCATTCGTCTGGAGATGATCGGAGAAACCACGGAAAACTACCGATCATAGCAGCCGAACGAGAGAATTCTCCATATATCGGCTAAATTCGACTTAGCTATGTAGCTAGTGTGGAAAATCCTGCCGCCTTCGGGACCCTAGGGGCTCCCAGTGAGAGGCACAGCAGTGACATCAGTTGACACCTGGAGCCAGCTTTGCCGGTCAGACCCGCAAGAAGGCCATCTTTGACCCTGGTGAAGAGGCAGTTTTAATGAAATTCAACACAGTTGGTTAATTTCTCTTTTCTCTATTTTGTCTTAGAAATATTAGGCGGACTTTTCTGCAAACGAATGTAAACTTTTCTTAGATGGAAGACAAAACGTATCAGGTGCCATGCAATTAAAAACAAAGTTTTAAGTAGAGAAGGGAGAAATGCAGCGGAAATACAGTCTGTAAGAACTAAGATCATTCTACTTAAAATAGATAAGGATATCGAGGAAGGCGAGTGAAGACCGAATACAACAGGAAGAATCAATCACTTAGTCAGTGGCTGCAGCCAGGGTGCCCAGATTGGGCGGAATTCTGCGTTTGGGACTAGAAAACAGCTCTATCTCGTGGGACAAAAATTGACTTCGCGAAATACCACCCAGCGGCCGAAAATGCATCAAAACATGCGCAGTATTGGGTGAATTTTACATTCCGACGAATCTTTCAGAAAACAACCACAACGACGTTGACAATAAATTTATGTTTTTAGTATTTTACTTTATTCATGATTTTTCATTAATCATTTGTTATTTTTTTTAAATTTACTTCGAGAAATGAATAATGTTGGGTTTTAGATCTCTAGTATAGGGTGTGTTCTAAAGATCATAGCGTCTTTGTTGTGAACATGAGTGTATAATAGCACATTAGCAGTACTTGCAGTTAATTGTAGAACACATTATTTAAAATTAGTCATCATTTGGAAGTACAGTGTCATATGCCAGCGTATTGTCACACTGGTTGCAATTTTGTCGCACTAGTTTCAAACCAACAAAGCATATGTTTGAGCATTTTACCAAGCAGGTCTATTTGCGAACACCAGAACCGAAACCAGAAACATACGGCTTGGAAGAGGCTTGCGACGAAAATCTTATGGAAGTTGTCAGGATACTTGTGGAAGTGTATGCTACCAATGAATCTTGCGTTTAATGTTAACTACAATCATAAAAAAAAATTAATGTGATAAATAAAATGATCTCATTTGAACAGAATTATTTTATCCCCTAAAGTACTTCTCCCATCTGTTGTAGTCATAAGAGTCACGTAGTTTGTTGTAGCCATAACGAATTTTTAAGTATTAAAATATAACTTATTATTACAAAAAGTGTGTTTTTACATACATTTTTAAATAAATGTTCACACAAAATGAATGTAGCACTTCGTAGAGTCACTACCTCAAAAAATTTCAAATTCGTATTATTTTAATGTAAATTATAAATTCTCGATTGAAAAGTTAAATTTTTCTTATTGGGCGGATTTACAGCCATCTAACGGCGGATGTTTGTACGAAGCATCTGGCAACCCTGGCTACACCGAGATTTTACTTACCAGATTTCACATAACCCCTTTACAGAATAACTACCGAGATAGATGATATCGCGCAGAAAATATGGCCCCTAGGCAATTGATCAATGATGGGAACATCTATTGAGATCTTCTGCTGGAAAGGCATAGGAAATCGCGGGTCACGGTAGTCACTGCAATAAGCAGAGCTGTACCAGAGTCCCAACAAAAATAATCTTGGTACGCTAGGCCTTGACGCGGTCGAGCAAACGAACTGCAAAAGACTGTCTTGATGGGAACCATTCGCATTCTGCGTAAAGTTTCTGTGGGAATCTCAGGTCCATGGTTAGGAAAGAGATGCAAAGAAAAATAAACCGGAAGAAGAGCTGAGTAATGGAACCAATAATAATATAATAATGATAATAATATTAATTACAATAAAAACCATTTCGCATTATTAGCAATAAAAGCAACAACAGTAGTGATAATCGAGCTGTAAAAGAGTAAACAGGCGCAGGAGGGGACCGGTGGGCAGGGCGCTCGGTCGATGTCGCGTGCAACTCGCGGCGCTGGACGCTCGACCTCATGGCTCGATCACACCCCCGTGGGCGTCTCAAGGTCACTGGCGGGGACCAACCCAAACCCTTGGCTCACGCGTCCGCTCTCGTACAGATCCACGTGCGATTCAATCAATATTTTTTTTTCTAGCAATGGGTCATGCAAATCATCCAACTCTTCGAATCTCTGAATGGTTGTGAGGTTCAAAACTCGAAATACCTGGCCTTTCTTCGTGAATTGATTTTTGATAGCCCATTTCCATTAAAACCCCTGAAATATTGAAAATCGCAAAAATTCAACTTTTCCTTACTCGTACTTTAAAAATCTGGTACACCTTGAATATTAAAGTTATATATTTCATTTTAATGTAATTTTCCCCTTAATATTTGATGTTGAAATCATTTTATTCCTTTTTACACCTTTTTAAAAATATTAGTAATTTTTGACGGATTTTGAATGAACTTGTGAGAATGTTGTCAAGCTCCTCAAGTCCTGGAACATTAGCAGTGATTAGCAGTGAGAAGTAATAGATCTGCATTCGTATTTGACTCCCTGAGGAAGGTCGCAGAATGGCGACCGAAACGTCGGCACCTTTGCCATGGACGCGGCGTCACCCGGACAGCCTAGTAGATACTGACTCCGGCCGCGGAAGCCTACGCTCACTCGATCTGCATCCAGATGGCACTATCATAATCGAGTGGCCAAACCACCCAACTCATAAGCGTTGACATTTGTATGCTTGTCGAAGGAAATATTTTTTTGTTTCTTTGAACTTCGTGTATGATTAAGAAAAAAAACAACAATATCTTCAAAGTCATACGTTTCATTTACATTTCAACTTTTGAATTTCCAAAAATTAAAGATATTTTTTTAATCTCTCGCGCTTCGTTTGGTTAGGTGTTGGTAAAGTGATCGCTGAAGTGTCTGAAGGTTAGAAGGCTCAGTATTATGATGATAAGCAACTTCTACCAATAGTATGGAAAATATAGAAAGATTTATTTTGGTTTATTTAAGTAAACCAAGGAACCTACGTTTTGGAATTTTTATCAAAATGCTCTGATATTCTTTCGTAATTAGTCTGTCTGGATTCCACTGCATTAAATGACCAACCATACAATAAAATTATTTCCCCAATGGAATATTGTCGTCATAGGTAACATTTAGGTTTAGTAACACATAGGTATATCTATGTAACATTTATTCGCTGTCGGTTGGATTATTCTGGCGGCCGGCTGCTCTGATCGGTAATTTTCCGAGGTTTCTTTGATCAATACCGGGCGGAGTGTCGGAGCAGTAACCTAACAAGAGGGCGACGGAGCACACTGGAGCTTCAATACTACTACTACGTCTTCCTTTCCGCTATTGTTCCTTCCTTTACATACACATTTACACGTACTACATGCGCTGTACTACCAAAAATGTCAGTGATTCGCAGCACGTGGCAGGTGAGTGGGATCATTGTTACTGACGTTCAGTTTGTAATCGAGGGTCCGAGGCACACATTTTAAAAATTTCTCTCCTTAGGTGAAATATTTATTGATTAATTGGTAAGAGATTGAAACGTGAAGAGTGATTTTACTTAAGAATTTTGCTAAAATCATTACTTCCAACTGGAAAATAATGCATGCAAGTTTTCACGACACATGTCAAGAATTTGAAATAGACTCCCAACGTTAGGGATTAGGAAAAAGACTTTCATCTTTGTGTTTGGTTGCAAAAAAATAATCGTAATTTGTTCTATTCTCCGGTAATATTTGAGTGCAAAAGTTGTGGTATACGATAATTAGTTGCAAGTAGTACATATAATTACAAAATGAATCATGCGATAAATTAGCTATTTCGTGCAAAAGAAACGACATATCTTGCGGAAAAGTTGATTATATGAAATTATAGGTTGAGAATGAGAGGAATATATGAAATTATCAATCGATCTCTGCCGGAAGTTGAGTCTCTAATGAACCTCTTGCAGGTCTTGGATCGTTCAATACTGGCTCACCGCCACAGTGTAATATTTTGTCGCCCTGGCGACGATTAGTTCTGAAAAGGAAAGTCGACATATCGGCGACGCTGTTGTTACAAAAGGGTACGTTACTTCGTGGTGCCACAGGAGCACACAATTTCTAGTATTATTTCTAACTTTCACAATTTTCGAAAATTCAGAGAGGTCAACTAAAATGTGAACTAGACCATTCTTTTAAGCATCCCTTGATCTATTCTTAAAAAAATAAGAAAACAAATTTATGCGATTTTTGAGGAATGTTTTGATAAACTGCATTTTCAAGTTGATTTTACATGAAAATACTGTTTTTTCAAAACTTTCATGACTTTGAGTTGAGAGGTCCAAGAAAATAAATTATTGAAAAAAACAGTATTACTGTGTTTGTCGAAGACAATAGAATTATTGAAAAATGTAGAAGTATGAATGTGTCTGTTGAAGAAAAGGTTTGAATATTTTCACAATAACGAGATAACATATTTCTTAATGAAAGGAATTGAATGTTTGTCTCCATACCCTTAAAGACCAGTTATGATATCTTCGCACATCCCAG